TAATTAATTTAAAATCGTCATGTCATGTCAATAACTATGCTGAATATGAAAGCCTGTTGCATGTTGTTCTGCATATTAATTATTTTACACAATAATAAAGCCATCAGATCTTTGAGTCCGGGTGGTTATTGTTGATTTTTTTTTCAAGCAATTAAACTATCGATTCCTGAAGATTGTTCTCAATTTTTGCCAATCGATAGTAATTGATAAAGGAATTTTCTGTGAGTTCAATATTTGCTATTTATCGATTGCAGATATCAATTGACAGCAATCGGTGATTGATATCCATCAATGTTATATGGATTGAATCAACTGAATTTTCCGATTTATCGATTGACTACGCCTAGTTTATTCTGGTCTAAACAAAAGCCCAGTCAACCATTTTCCTATTTAAAGTTCCTTTTTAATTCGGCCACCCAGTTAATACAGCCAGAATTTCGTGGCCCATTGGTGACCAGAAATCTTACTTAAAGTAGTACTTTAATCCTCACCCTAACTCATCACTCCGCTCTTCCCACGTAGATCTCCGCTATCAAATCCAAAGCACACGAACAAACAAACATTATATAATGATACCTACCACGTGAAATTTCTTCCATGTCTATATCTCTGACTGGGGCGGAAGTTCCATTCAAGTCACTTAAACAAATTGAACGCCATTTCTAGACTCTTTCTGAACCATCTTTCAGCAAATGCTGTCCTTCTTCGCATGTCAGCGTAAAAGATTGCACACAAAATTACTCTTTCTTGCGCCCTGTCGCCGACATAGCGGACTGAGTGGTATACGCATTTCCCAGCTCTTAGATTCCGGCGGACGGTCGCAGACTTTGAATCAAGCAGGGAATCAAAAGATTCACTTGCAAACTGGCAGATCAATGAGTCTTACGAACACCGTGAAACCACTTATAACACTGGCTGAGTCTAAATTCTAAAACCTTAGGTTGTTATTTACCACAACTGATTCGAAACATCCAAATTCATCGACGCTCCAATGCATGCATGACCCAGCAACGAGAGCAACCTGAGTAGCAGGCCTTCCTAAGGGGAGGGGCGAGGGGAGGAGAAGAAAAGTAAAGGAGGCTTTTCTTCTTACTTTCGTCCCTGCCATCTTTAGCCATGCAGCCGATCAGGAATCAACCTTTTTTCTTGCCCTCTCTGCGATCCAGTTGTAGAGAAATGGTGGACCCCTGTCTGGACCTCCTTCTGGCTCCCTTTCTCGATTCCTCACTGACCCTACAGGAGCTCCGCAATTTTTCTGCCCAAAAAAACATTCTCGTCCCCAGATTTTGATCGCGTAGTCAGCGGACCGTAAATCACAGACAATACGGTAACGCATGCGTAATTTTTGCCCGCATATCTATTCATTCTAATCCTGAGGGAGGGGAGAGAGGGATATATTCTTCGGTGTTGACAGATCGGACTTGACATTCACTTCACTGAAGTTTGGAGATTTAGAGTTTAGAGTTAAAAAGAGAACAGAAAGCCGCCTTGAATGCCGTCGCTTCAAAAACGATTGCAAGCTTGTCTAATATTTTGCCAACGGGTTTCGTTATGCATTATGTGGTGGACCGTCCGTCTAACAAAAGTCAGGGATCGATAGCTGGGTTCTTGCTGTTTCTTCTCTTCGTATTAGATAAAATCCCGGGGTAGTCACTCGATAAGTAATAGTAATTGGACCGAGTGGAGCACAACTCAGGGAGTAGTCGCGCGAGTAATTTCAAAATCGGACGAGCGAGAAGCGCGAGACCGATTTGAATTACTCTCTGAATTGTACGACACGAGGTCCAATTACTAATTAATCGTATCTATAACAAATTTTTGAATTAAAACTGTCTTTCGGGAAGTTTTCTTTAAGCGAAAACGTCTGTAGCGCTTTTCAAGTGTTGAAAACTGTAGGAAACATTGCAAAGGAAGCCATTAAAGCGCGCGTTCATGATCCTCTTTAGAGGGCTGGTCTGAGCTGCCACTAACGATACTACATTTAGGAAATAACACACTGGCTGTGGGTAAAATTTGGGTGGCAGGGAAGGACGACTGGGGAGTAGGGGCCCAGGAAGACGGCCCTCCTGGGGGAGTACAGATCGGGTGGTACCGGGGGTAGCCACCCAGGAATAGAAGTTCCGAGACCTGCCTCCAGGGTTGAGGCATGCCACAGTCACGGGAAACTGAGGGAACCAGGAGGGGAGCCCCCCCTAGGGGGAGTACACTCAGGTGGTACCGGGGGTAGCCACCTTGGAATAGGTAATTTCTCCGGACCTGTCTCCAGAAAAAAAAAAAATAGGGGCGAAGGAATGGCACAAACAAGAGGACTGCATATAACGAGGAGCGTGTGCTTGACTAGAGGTCTGGGGCATGAGGTGGACACGTGAGAGACATGACTGGAACCATTGATACACCGTCTTTTTTACAGATGTAGATAACAGTGGCCTTACTTAGGAAATGAAAGGTTTGTTGTGATATCTAAAGGGAGTGTGTTTTTCTAATCAGGATCGATGTTAAATACTAGTGATAGTTTTACAATTTTCCGGTAGCGACTTCTTGCATTTGTACTACAGAGTTCATACTGGCTACAGTCAATTAGCAAATACATTACCGTTTACACAACAGGAAATTGCCGTTTAATGCCAGCTTAGCAATAGCGGTATCTCGAACAACTGTGCCATCAGTACCCAGAAGAAACGATGTTCACAAAGCTACCTTGCATTCAGTGACGCAGAAACCTCTAAAGTAATTTTAAGTCTTCTTTTAGTTTATAGTTTACTGACTTAGAACTATGTAAACTGACGTTCGCACTTACAACCTGAATAACGCTTCGTTTTCCTACTATAAGTCTGACAAAAATGCAACAGCACTTTCAAAAAACCCCGGCTCCTTCTTCGGGTACCGGACTCAAATGAGAACATATTGTTTAAACATTGCTTGCAAGTCATTGTATTTTGCTGCAGTATTGTCTCGTCTTTCGTTTCTACCTGGTTTTTATTATTTTACTATTTTATTATGTTACAATTCTACTATTTTACATTGCAAACTGAAGGAAAATCGGGAAATGCCTTCATATGAACAGTCGCTACTGATGTCTTTATCGAAGCAGTTCCATCTTCATGTACTATTAACTTTAAGGTCCTATCTCCCTTGTAGCGAAACGGACGATGATGATGATGATGATGATGATGATGATGATTTCATGATGATGATGACGATAATGATCACGCATTATTACTTGTTTATTTTTCCATGTTTTCATCTTTCCTCTATTCCTAATATTTCAAGTTACATTTATTTACACAGAATTATCCGGCTAAATCTTTACGTAAAATACATCACTCCATTCATTCTGTCGCTGACTTGAATGGCTCTTGCAGACTTCTCCAAATCCACAGTATCACCGCCCCTAAAAAATTGAACAAGACAACAATTAAAACAAACAAACAAACAAACAAACAAGACCATGAGAGTAGAAAACTTGACGAAAATCTTGCCACAAAAAAACTACCTTCCACTTCCACCATTGGTCACATGGTGTCTAGCTCGGAATGCTACCAAATGTGCATAATAGGCAGGGGCTGGCATGGAGACACTGCGAGTGCACCGTGCATATACATGACACAGCTGATAAGTGAGCTGTTCAAGACCGTCTGCTGTGAAGGCGTTATCGTCGTACAAAACGTGATAGTGTGTGGGTCGGCTTGTTCCCTGAGGAGAAATCAGTACAACCTTCATGGTAAAATTGTTATTTTACAGCCTGCAAAGTCTGAGGCAAGGTAAATATCTGGTCTAAATCAAAGATTACAGTTACGTAATACATAAGCTGATGTTTAACAAAAATGATAAGGGGAGAAAGGCCGTGGGAGGAGAGGGGATTTATCTGAAAAGTTAAAAAAAAAGACTAAGAACGTTTACATTACCAATAAGCAGCTTGGTCGGCAGAAACTAAGTTAATAAGCGAAGGCAACGAAAGGAGGGAATGAACTGATCGACTGCCTCTAAAAAGACAAGCTGTTGGGATGCGTATAGAGGAGACAGACAGACAGACAGACAAAGACAGTCAGTCACTTAGGCAGAAGGGTAGAATAGACAGATAGACAGAGAGGGACACGCATGAAAAGGCATACAAAAAAAATCAAGCAGGTAAGCAGACAGACAGAAAGACAAACAGAATAGATGACTGGTTGAGGAGTGTCAGGAGTCCTTACCAGCAGGTCTAATGGTGCGTTCCTTTAGGATGACCAAGAAAAGGCCTATGATCCAAGATCACTCGCATCATGGTGCATCAAAGGAACCAAGGAATCATTGTCCAGAGCGGATTCATCAGGTCATTTGCTACACCATGATCTTAGTGATCTTGGATCACAAATCGATATTTATCGTGATCCAAATTTTCCAAAAGGAACGTACCCTAAGATTTTTTTAACTTCATGGTTTATTCGTAACACGCTATTTTACAATAAATTTTAAAAAAGAAAGTAACTTTTTCATCACAATCCATTGTAAGGCAATTTGAAGTTTCTCACTGAGTTAAAGTAGCAAAACAACTTTTCCAAACGTTACATACAGTCGAAGCTCTCCTAGCGACCAATCTAGTAGGCGACCAGCTCTAGTTACGACCACCTTTGTGAAACCCCGTTTGAATTGTGACTCAAACTTTGCAATGAAAAGCTGTTGCAAGCGACCGCGCCCGTAAGCGATCGCGATCACTTTCTGGGATTACCCAATTGGACTTTTCCTTTGTTTTTAAGCTCTTGTAAGCGACGGCTCAAGAGTCTTTTACATATACATCAACACTTTAATGAAACTGGACACTGCTCTAATGGTTATTTTGGTCAAAAAAATTGAACGTAAGGTTTAGCCGAGTCTATATCACATATAAAGACACTCATTAAACATTAAGACGGAATCCACCAGAAGTTTGAGCAACAAGTGGACAAAAACCTAGTACCAAGATTATTTACATCACATTGCAAACTTCTGTGTGACTGTTTGAAATATCTTCTGGAAAGAAAGAATCATTTCTAGCAACACTAAACGTCGAAAACAAATGTTGAACTTCCTATGAAACACTTGAAAGTACTGGTGAAATGAAACTGATGATGGAATTTTATCTGTTTGCACAATTTCTCTGAACTTTAAAATTTATTTTCTCTCGTTCTCATGGGGAATTGTTTTCGGTGTTATTTCAGGTAATTATTTAAATCTTTAGCTTTAAGAAAATGTAAAAAGGACTGTAAAGTACTTAACATTATTCTGGTACTGATTTTCGTCCACTAAAAGCTAAAATTGCTCGATTTTCAATCAGATTTCGCCTTTATTTCTTTTGTTTTTTCTTTACGAATTATTAATGAGTTTTTGAAGCTCTGGTAAAGTTTCAGCCAAAAGATCGCAACATTCGAACAGAACATATCCAACATGCTTGGCCCATGATTTGTAAGCCGCGGCCAAACGATCGCAACATTTGAATGCAACATATCGCAGAATTGTGGGGTGCAACATGTTGCACGCGTTTGGCCACCTTTTGCGACGTTTTGCGACTTGTTCGGTATCGAACATCGAACTACAGCGCATGCCCGGGCGCAACATTGTTGCACGAACCTGGCCAAACGACTAGAACATCATACAACATCCACAAGACAAATGTTGCGTGAAAATTTTGACAATTTTCAAACTTTACCCAACAATAATCAACAGGGTGGCCAAACGCGCGCAACATGTTGCGTCCAACAATGTTGCGATATGTTGCATTGAAATGTTGGGATCGTTTGTCGGGGGCTTACGCGACCACCCTCTATTGTTTTACCACGCGGTCGCTTACGCGAGCACATTCTTGTAAGCGACCAGCTCTGTCTTACAACTACTTTTTCGAATTTCGGAGGTGGTCGCTTACGAGAGCTTCGACTGTAGCATCAACTTACCTTGGTTCCAAAATGGCTGCACAGATAGAAGTCAAATTCATATGGGTGTCTTATACCACTGTCCACAGTGGTGCCTGGAGGTACATTCTGAGCTTTGCCTGAGGCATCTCGTTTGTCTTCACAGAATAGTCTTGTGTGATGCCGCTTCTGAACCACAACAAACGTAATTTTTGGGCGATATTCCTTTTCCAGCATCATACAGGCCTCCTGNGTGGTGCCTGGAGGTACATTCTGAGCTTTGCCTGAGGCATCTCGTCTCTCTCCACAGAACAGCCTTGTGTGATGCCGCTTCTGAACCACAACAAAAGTGATTCTTGGGCGATATTCCTTTTCCAGCATCATACAGGCCTCCTGAACAGCACGCACTTCATGAACTAGTACTTGGTCAAACTGACCCTCGCTGACTCCATCACGGTAAAAGATAATCTTGGACGGCTTAAGTCTCCTGTTGGCCTTGTAGAACTCGATAAGAAGCTCTTTCACCATAGCAGCCAGATCATTGATAATTTCTTGGGCACCTCCTGATTTCTCGTGTCTCTGCGCTCGAACCCGTGCGCAGTATTTGGTTGCATTTGTATCCATACTGGCGACAACAGCCGCGATAGATGGAATCCCATTTTCAGTGGTAGAAGGGTGTGTTACATCAGCACCAAAGATGATGACAGGTTCTCTAAACACGGGTGACTTCTCTGACGGATCAATAACATGATTGATTCCACCTAACTTGGAGTTTATCTTCAAAGAAAGATTGGCACAGACTTGAGGTTTCGCCTGTTGTGCCTGTTTAATTTGAACACATTGGGTGGCAATTCCAAGGACATTGTCGCCAACTCGTTTAATCTCTGGATAAAGTTCCTTGTCTTTTTCTGGTAGAACAGCCATTATAAGCTGTAGTTGTGGATAATCCACCGCCCACTTGGAGAATAGACTTTCCACCTGATCAAACGAAGAACTCAAATTAAAACTCAAGTTCTTCTCTACTTTAATTCTTGATTCATTACCTAGATATAAAATAGGCTATGTGCATATGGTTTTAGAGGATTGGAGTCCTTCATTTCCTATCATCAGTCCAGAGGTAATAATCAAAGACAGGTGTGAATCTCTCGCAGCTCCCATTCAATGAGTCTCGTCCGTCGTTCAATTTGGATTTCGCATGATCATTTGAACGAAAGCACTCTAGTGCAGACTCATCCAAAAGCCCAGAAAAGTTCAGTAAATTTGATCGCCGGCCAGCCAAACGTTTTCAAACTATTGTGGGCACTGGCCGTTTTCTAGAAACATTCACTGTGAAATAAAGTTTGTCAATTGCTGTTTTGATATCAACTTGGTCCTTGTTGAAGCATGCAACATTAAAAACAATCATCGAATCCTTCATGAGGAAGTAAACCTCACATTTAAAGTATTTTCTAAATATCCCTAAATACAATGTTTTCAAAAAACGAGTGTCTTCAAGGTTTGGGGGAGTAGCAGTCAAACTGAATTCAATGGATAAGAGAAATTGTAGGTAATATATCGAACACGACAGACCATGTTTGACCACATTCCCAAACACCGAGAAGAGAATAGAAAATACGACGCGTAGCGGAGTATTTTTGACGAACTTTGAGGTGTTTGGAAATGTGGTCAAACACTGTTTCGAGCGTTTGATATATCTTCTCAATCAAAACTTAAATTAAGGAGAAAATGGAGAAAGAAAATCGTAAAAATTTATGTTAATTAAGATCATATATCCAAAGACCGTCACCGTCATGATTTCCTTTGTTTAAACGTAATGAATTATTAATGAGTTTGAGAAGCCCTGCATCGTACGAGGTACCCGACAATTTACCAGACACAGCATTAAAGGAATGACTAAAATGTATATCTCTACGCAGAGAAAGGCGCCATGGCAGTAGCGCCTTGCCTAAAATCAGAACACATTGAAAGTCGTCACAACACTTGCCCTCAAGGTGGTCAACGTCTCAACTGAAATTCTGAGCATTTTGTGGCTACATTGGCTACTAGGAAATGCACTAATTAGAAGTAAGCTTAGCACCACTTCTGCAATAAAATTTATTATCTTAATCTATTATTAGTGTAGTGTTTGACAAGTATACTTTTAGAAAAACACATCAGTTCTTACATCAC